TGGGTTTCGGGTTTAGGGACTAGGATCTAGGGATTTTTGATTTTTTGGTGGTTCTGGTGACGGTAGATTTTCGGGCTTAGGGTTTAGGGGTTTTTGTGGGGGTTCTTGTAGAGCCACTTCTTGATCTGGCTGATCTCTAGGCAGTGACAAGGGTTTTGTAGAGGCCTCACAAGGTTTAAAGTTTGGTTCTGATTTGTACAAGGGTTGTGGCGGGTTTAATCGGGATTGCATAAAGGCTTTCCCGTGCGGTTATAGGCATTTCTGTTCACCCAAATCCCTAAAGGGCCCTAAAGACTCATTAAAACTGCAGCCCCTGCCTTTCGGACTCTGGAGGGTTTAGGGTTTAGGGTTTAGGGTTTAGGGTTTCGGGGTTTAGGGTTTAGGGTTTAGGGTTTTCAATACCCATGCTCCTTCAAGCATCAACGGCCGTCGAAGGCATGTTCACGCTACAGAAATATTTTGGGAAAGAGCGCATTCCTGACAAAGGCAGTGTACATGCTTCTTTCTGCAGCGAAAGCCCTTCAAGGAACCCTTACAACAACTCCCAAAAGATCGCCTCTCATAGGAACCGGAATCCAGGAACCCTAAACCCTAAACCCTAAACCCCTAAAACCCTAAAACCCAAGCCTTAAGTCCCCAACAAACCTCTGGGAAACCTTAGCCCAAAAACCCGGACACTCCAAAACCCTAACCTGTAACCGTTACAGCCTAAAGCCCTAAACCCTAAACCCTTATAGGAACAAACCCTAAACCCTAAACCCTAAAACCCTACACCCTAAACCCTAAACCCTGAACCCCTACTCTCCCTCCAGGCCTTCTTCATTAACCTTTACAATGCCATGCGCATGCCTGAGCTGTCCCGTGGCGCATCCGAGCTCCCAGTTGCCTGAAGCCATGGACACAGACAGCCCAGGGTTATGCGGTTGATGATGTAAATCCTGCATTGCCCCAGTTTAGGGTTTAGGGTTTAGGGTTTAGGCCAGAAAAAGGAATATACCATAATTCCCATAGTTTAGGGTCCTTAACGTAATGCGGGATTTATATCATCCACAGTAGTTCGGGTCCCGTGTTCTTGTGGGCTTCTCAAACGAGGAGTAGAAGGCTCCATCTTCAGTAAAGGGTTTAGGGTTTAGGGTTTAGGGTTTAGGGTTTAGGGTTTAGGGTTTAGTGTTTAGGGTTTAGGGTTTAGGGTTTAGGGTTTCCCTTGTCGCCGATCCTGACCCTATGGGTTGCTCTCCCACCGTCTAACCTACAAAACCCTAAACCCTCAAGCCGAAACCTTAAAGCCCCAGGTTTAGGGTTTAGGGTTTAGGGTTTAGGGTTTAGGTTAAAGCCCCAAGCCCAAGTACCAAATTGCTAGTTCCTTTCTGGATCCTTTCAGTTTCGACGTTAAGCTTCTAGGAGCTTCCATTCACCCAGAGGGTCCAAGTACCCAAATAGTAGGGTTTTAGGCCACAAATCCAAACTCTGAGTGGTTTTTGGACATTGACACCCTAGAATTTGGGCACTTGGACCCTTACGGCTAGGGTTGCGAGATCGCGACGTACCTAGCTCAAGGTCAGAAGAAGGTCTAGGGGTTTAGGGCTTCATGTAGGGTGCCTTAATCATTAGAATAGGGGTAAGCCCGGCATATACCCTAAACCCTAAACCCTAAACCCTAAACCCTAAACCCTAAACCCTAAACCCTAAACCCACCCATCATGCTTGGTCTTTGAAGCCCTGAGCCCTAAAGTAGGGACCTTGAGTTGGCTTTTCCCCTTTTCGGCGACCCTACACCGTAAGCCCTATAAACCCTAAGCCTATACGGTTTAGGGTTTAGGGTTTAGGGTTTAGGGTTTAGGGTTTAGGCCTTCAACCCACAAAACCGAAGCCCTAAGCCCTAAACCTATAACCCCTAGAAGCCCTCTAGCCCTAAAGCCCTATAAACCCTATAAGCCCTAAGCCCTAAACCCGTAAGCCCTATAAGCCCTAAACCCTCAACCCTACAAACCCCTAAACCC